GGCGTCGTGGTTGGCGTTGGAGGAAAGGTTGGAGAGGAGTTGATTGAGATAGGATTTGAAGGAGGTGCCAGTGGAGTTTGGGGCCAAGCTAGTTGAGCAGTTATGGCTGCTGTATGCAGCACCTGTGGTAGTACTGGCCAATGCAATAAGAAGTAAGGAGAGAAAGTAGAAAGGGATCATGTCACAATGCATGTAAAAAACCAAGGGATTTTGATAATACGATTAATTTGTTCAAGTGATCTACTAAAATATCAAAGTTCTAAGTTTATGACAATGTTAATATTGCACACGGTGCTTGACTTTTCTGAGTCAACATCTGAAACAGTCCGGAGATTTACCGATGATAATTAATGGTTCTACCTACGTACTTCTGCAATCAACTAGTGGATAGACTTTGGCAATAAATTGATTAGGATAATACTTGCATTCCTCATTGCTAACGTATCTTGATCGTATAATTTTATAATTGAATTCGTTTATTTCTTAATCATTATTTGAGATCGTATGTACAAAAAATTATTTCAATCGGATATCAATTGATCATTCAAATGTATACAATAAATTGACGATATCAATATTAAGTAATATGTTCATGATAAGTTGTCCATTTACTTTATAAGTTTAGCTGAATACATGATTTCAATTCGAATGAATCTGTATTGGTTTTTTTTTTTTTGGACAAAATGAATCTGTATTGGTTGGATCTTCAAATGAATCTTTATGACAATGCCAATATTGCACCCGATGCTTGACTGTTCTGAGTCTACATCTGAAACAGTCCGGAAATTAACCGACGAGATTTAATGGCTCTACGTACGTCTACAATCAACCAGTGGAAAGACTTGGAAATAAATTGATTAGGATAATACTTACATTCCAGCTTGCTGAAGTATCTTGATTGACATCGTACACATTTTATAATTAGAATCGTTTAATTTTTAAATTTTTATTTGAATATCATTTTTATAAAATAAAATAAAAAACAATTTTAATAAAAGATTATTTAGTCATTTAAATGTATCGAATAAATTGACTATATTGGTATCAAGTAATATGTTCGTGATATACCGTCCACTTATTTTATAGGTTTGGATAAATAAATGATTTCCAATTCGAATGAATTTGTATAGGATTGATCTTCAAATGAAGATTAATGAATTGAATGGTTCCGATCATTGATTTTATTCGGAAGATACGTCTTGGTAGAAAGGCCACATTTCAAACCTCATATTACAACTGGCATATAGAACTCATCCCCCTTGCTTTGCATCACAGCTGTTAGAGTATATAGGATATGGAGGGTGTGGATCATGACACATGTAAATAACCAAATACATAAGGCAGTTAAGAGTGTGGCTGTTAGAATAATTAGTTAGGATTCTTAGTAATAGACTGAGTTGGTTAAGGCAGTTAGCTTAAGACTCATCTATAGCAACTATCTCTTGTAATCATTCAACTAATCAAGAAAATACAATTGTGATTTCTCTCTCTCTCTCTCTCTCTCTCTCTCTCTCTCACTAAACCTCTTCTGTTATCTTCTTCTCTGTGATCCCTCGGTTCTCTTTATGTTGCTCAACATGGTATCATCGTCTTGAAAGCCATTTGTGCTTTCTCGATTCTTGGTCTGCTTCCGCTACTATCTTCTTCCTCAATATACTGATTCTCTGTTTTGTTCTAGAAATTTTGGGCGTCTCTCTTGTCCCAATTCTCTGATTTGTTCTTGGTAAATTCTTGCACACCAGGTGTTTGATCTTCTGTCTCACTCAGATTCTCTCTCACTAAACTTGATTGGTAATGGTGTAGTGTCATGATCACTACCTCGATGCCCTTTATGTCTGCAATGATGGCCAAGAACAATAGTCAAGGATCACAAAGTTATGCTGCTGGGAATTCTTCTACAAATGGTCTTTATAGTCATTCTCCGACAATCAACAATGGTGGTAATTTTGGATTTACTGGTCAACCTGGACAATCCAAATTTTTCAATGGTGGAAATCGATCAAAGTATAAAGGGAAAGGGAAATTTAACAACAATCAAGGACAGAGATATTATAAGCCTGTGGTCCATGATTTTGCACCTGGAATTCTTGGGACTCCATCTTCCTATCATAATGGTGCTTCTTCTTCAATTGTTATCTGTCAGATTTGCTCTAAACATGGTCATTCTGCTGCCACTTGTAACTATAGAGATGCTGAACCTGTTGAGCCTTGTCAAATCTGTGACAAGAAAAATCATACTGCCAGAACCTGTTTCTTCAGGAATAAATCTCCCAATCAAGTCCCACACATGGCTTCCATGAATACTACATACTCAAATTCAGTGCCATCTACTCACATAATGTCCTCTCAAATGTCCAACTCTGTCCCTTTGGCCACCACAACACAATATTCACCTAAAGTTTGGCTCACGGATTCTGGGGCCACAAACCATATGACTACTGATATGAGGAATCTAAGCTTGGCATCACCATATCCAGTCTTCAGACTGCAAATGGGGAAGGTTTGCAAGTGTCTCACGTTGGCACATCTCTCTTAAGGACTTCTCCTTATCCTTTGAAATTGAACTTAGTTCTTTATGTGCCCAAACTGTCTCATAATCTTTTATCTGTGCATCAATTATGTTTAGACAATAATTGTTGGCTAATATTCGATGCATTCTCTTTTTGGATCCAGGACAAGGCCACAGGGAGAGTTCTATTCTAGGGAGCATGCAATAATGGACTATACCTCATTCCATCCCTTCTACCAAACCAATCTGCATCCAATTCCAAACTCATGGCTTGCTTGGGGAAATTAGTCAATTCAACTCTTTGGCACAATCAACTAGGTCATCCTTCCAACTTAGTTTCTTCTACAATGCTTAAGAAGTCGAACATAGTTACTGTCCATGATACACCTTCCACATTGTGTCAACACTGTTTAGAAGGGAAATTTAGCAAGTTACCTTTTCAGTATGTTCAATCAAAATATGTGGTTCCTTTTAAGTTGATACATAGTGATTTGTGGGGTCCAACACCTTGTCAATCTGTAGATGGTTATAAATACTATGTTCTGTTCACAGATGAATGTACTAGATTCAGTTGGATTTTTTCCTTAATCAATAAATCTGATTTTTTTCCCTACATTTGTCTCCTTCTATCATTATGCTTGCACTCAATTTACAACCAAAATTAAAACTTTCCAGAGTGATGGAGGAGGAGAGTTTATAAGCAAAAAGTTTCAAGCTTTTCTTACTGCACAAGGTGTGTTTCATCAGCTTTCATGCCCCTATACACCTGAACAAAATGGGTTGGCTGAACGAAAACATAGACATATTGTCGAGACTGCCCTTACTTTGTTGCAAACTGCTCATTTATCCCCATCATTTTGGACCTATGCCTGTCATACTGCAACCTATTTGATCAATAGAATGCCAACCACTGTCCTTCAAAACAAATCACCATTTGAACTTCTATATAAAGTTGTCCCTGACCTTTCTCACTTAAGGGTGTTCGGTTGTTCGTGCTATCCTCTCCTTAAATCATATAACATCTCCAAACTGCAACCTAAAACCTCTCGATGGTTATTTTTAGGATATGCTTCTCATTATAAAGGTTATATCTGTTATCATTTACAAACCAAAACAACCTACATTTCGAGACATGTCCTGTTTAATGAACTTGAATTTCCATTCTCATCACTACCAGTTTACCCAACCTCTAAGGTCATTGCTCTCACTCCATCACTTGACACTGCACCATTACCAACTCCAAACCTTCAAAATGTCCTTGTCTCACCAATTTCAACCTCTAGAGCGCAAACTTCATCTTCGTTTAGGGATACTTCATATTCATCACCTCAAGGGCATGCACAGTCACCTTCATCCAATTGTCAATCACCTCGCTGCCAATTGTATGTGCACGATTTTTGAAGAAAACTAAAATGCTTGAATCTAAACCATGTGCCACTCCCTGTTTACCTTATAACAGATTATTGAAGGATGATGGGGACTCATTTAATAATCCAACCCTCTATAGAAGTATTGTTGGTGCCTTACAATACTTGGTTTTTACCCGACCTGACATAGCCTTTTCAGTTCATCAAGTTTGTCAATTTATGCAGTCTCCAATGGCTTCTCATTATTTAGCTGTGAAGAGAATCTTGAGGTATCTCAAAGGGACTATGACACATGGAATTCGATATACAAAAGGCAGTTTAACACTTAGATCGTTTAGTGATGCAGATTGGGCTGGAGACCCTAATGATAGGCGGTCTACAACATGTTTGGTGGTGTTTCTTGGTAACAATCCTATCTCTTGGGCTTCAAAGAAACAACAAACCGTATCAAGGTCATCAACTGAAGCTGAATATCGCGCCCTTTCATCCACTGCTGCTGAATTGGATTGGCTGCAACAACTGTTTCAAGTTCTACAAGTTCATATTCCTCACCTCTCAGTTCTTTTTTGTGACAATCTTTCGGCAATCGCCCTATCCTTTAATCCAGTTCAACATCAGCGCACTAAACATATTGAAGTTGATGTTCACTTTGTGAGAGAACGGGTTGCAAGTAAGAAGCTCTTGGTTCAGTTTGTCTCTTCTTCCGAGCAATTTGCTGATATTCTTACCAAAGGTCTGAGTTCGCCAGTGTTCAAGACTCACTGCAACAATCTCATGCTTGGACCACCATGAGCTTGCGGGGGGATGTTAAAGTATATAGGATATGGAGGGTGTGGATCATGACACATGTAAATAACCAAATACATAAGGCAGTTAAGAGTGTGGCTGTTAGAATAATTAGTTAGGATTGTTGGTAATAGACTGAGTTGGTTAAGGCAGTTAGCTTAAGACTCATCTATATAGCAACTATCTCTTGTAATCATTCAAATAATCAAGAAAATACAATTGTGATTTCTCTCTCTCTCTCTCTCTCTCTCTCTCTCTCTCTCTCTCTCTCTCTCTCTCTCTCTCTCTCTCTCTCTCTCTCTCTCTCTCTCTCTCTCTCTCTCTCTCTCACTAAACCTCTTCTGTTATCTTCTTCTCTGTGATCTCTCGGTTCTCTTTATGTTGCTTAACAACAGCAACTAGGCGCTAACTGCGTTTTCCCTTCTTCAAGGCACGCATTACAATCGGCAGCGGACAAGTCCGGCCTGCACTGCGCAAGGCTGTACACGGTAAAAGAAATCAGGTTTGCCGTAAAAGGCTCTTCTTCCTTGGCAAACCTGTCAGTTGCATTGGCAGCCTTGGGGACTAAGCTTCCCAAAGTAGCCGCCAATACCTCGGTGAGCTGAGCTGGTTGCTCCACTTATTGGGACACGTTCCGCTCACTCCAAATTACAAGGACAGGCGAGGTGGCAGCCGCCCTGGAAGAGAAGGGCTTGTTTGAGTAGCTTAGCGTGCAATCGTCATACAATATCAGCGCCTCTTGGCTGTCCGGGCAGAGTAGGAGTGCCTGCGAGGTTGCGTTTACCACGCATTCTTTGCAAGCATTGGCCGAGACGTCCCGGCGGCAGAGAAAGAGGCCGTAGGCTGGGCCCACGGTGGTGGCGTTGTAAAAGCCGGTGGCGTCGCGGTTGGCGTTGGAGGAGAGGTTGGAGAGGAGTTGGTTAAGATAGGATTTGAAGGAGGTGGCAGTGGAGTTTGGGGCCAAATTAGTTGAGCAGTTATGGCCGGCGTATGCAGCATCTGTGGTAGTACTGGCCAATGCAATAAGAAGTAAGGAGAGAAAGTAGAAAGGGGTCATGTCACAATGCATGTAAAAAACCAAGGGATTTTGATAATACGATTAATTTGTTCAAGTGATCTACTACAATATCAAAGTTCTAAGTTTATGACAATGTTAATATTGCACACGATGCTTGACTTTTCTGAGTCAACATCTGAAACAGTCCGGAGATTTACCGATGATAATTAATGGTTCTACCTACGTACTTCTACAATCAACTAGTGGAAAGACTTTGGCAATAAATTGATTAGGATAATACTTGCATTCCTCATTGCTAACGTATCTTGATCGTATAATTTTATAATTGAATTCGTTTATTTCTTAATCATTATTTGAGATCGTCTTTACATAAAATTATTTCAATCAGAGATCATTTGATTATTTAAATGTATAGAATAAATTGACTATATCAATATTAACCGACGAGATTTAATGGTTCTACGTACTTCTACAATCAACCAGTGGAAAGACTTGGCAATAAATTGATTAGGATAATACTTACATTCCAGCTTGCTGAAGTATCTTGATCGGCATCGTACATATTTTATAATTAGAATCATTTAATTTTTAAATTTTTATTTGAATATCACTTTTATTAAAAAAAAAAAACTATTTTAATAAGAGATTATTTAGTCATTTAAATGTATAGAATAAATTGACTATATTGGTATCAAGTAATATGTTTGTGATATACCGTCCACTTATTTTATAAGTTTGGATAAATAAATGATTTCCAATTCGAATGAATTTGTATAGGATTGATCTTCAAAGGAAGATTAATGAATTGAATGGTTCCAATCGTTGATTTTATTCGGAAGATACTGTTTGGGTTAAAACTTGAACTTTGGGCTCAAAAGGGGGTTAGCCCAGAAGAAGGTCTAGAAGGAAGAAAGCCCAAGGCTCAGCCGAAGCCCAGAAGGCAGAAGAAGTCCTTTTCCCGACTAAGTGCAGATCACTTAAGCCACTTGCTCACCTACCTAGAAGTCAAGTGATGTAAACTAGCCAGCTAATCAGCCTAAAAGTACTTTATAATAGCAGTACAAGTAAAAAGTTGATGAGTCACTACCCTTCAACTGCATTCGGGCAAGATTGATGCTGCAGGCAGCCAAGCCAAATCATCTATAAAAGGGGATAGAGAAATCAGAGATAAGGACACTCAATCAAACAAACAAATAAACAAACTCTGCTTAAGCCAGATTTGCATACGAAGTTGTAGTCAGCACCATGTCTTCATCCTTTTCAGGATAAACCTTCACCAAAAGCCTTTATAAAAGCTCTGCTACCTTGTCTGAATCTTGCTATAGTATCGATTCCCTCCTATAAACTCATCTCCCAATCCCCCCTTCTAGCTCTCAAACCCTTTGTAAATCACAAAGAGAGGAAGTTGCAAAATGATCAGCCTTACCCGACAAGGTGGAACCTTGCCCGACCCTCTTTGTTCTGTCTTTTCATTCATAAATCTAGTAATATGATGAATACTTCCATCTGTATCCAAGTTATTTCTAGCAAGTTTATGATTAAAAGGTGTCTTGGTTCTTGAATCTGTTCGGTTTAATGGTGCCCAACCATGTAAAAGTAAAGTTGGAATCCGCACTCATAACATGCCCAGATCTAAGTTTTAACCTTTCGGGCATACAAGATTTATCAATCAAAAGTCCTTGGTCTCAAGGCATAAAAAAGAACTTCATGTGGACTTAACCCATCTACGCAATCCTTGATAACAAGAAGTCCAAAGTTACTTGGGGCGCAAGTAATCAGCTTATTTCTTAGTTTTACTTCTGTTGTAGTATGATTGTCACAAAATGCTTGAGTATAGAATTAATTATGATGGGAAGCCTCAAGGCCTATACCTAAGGCCCTACAAAGGCACCTATCTGGGTTTGTTCTGCTCTGCGGGCTCGGGTGATTAAAGTATAACAGGTGTAATACTTCTGCAACAATGAAACAACCACTATATGTTTGAGTACTTGGTTAGTTTTGATTGCAAGCCTCAAGGCCTACACCTAAGGCCCTACAAAGGCACCTTTCATAGCTAACTTGGTCTCTCGGGCATATACAATTAAACTAAACATCTGTTTTACATCTGTCATACTAAAGATGGCAGTGGCACGCCTGAACACCTAAAGTTAATTTTGATTGTGAGCCTGAAGACCTACACCTAAGGCCCCACAAAGGCACCTTTCAGAATTAACTTTGTCCTTCTCTTACAGCCCTCCAATAAGCAGAAGCCTGACAGACAATATCAATCGGCGCCAACCTCTCGGGGAGCTGTGTGCTCGTCGGCCAAGAAATGTTCCCAGCGGAAATTCCTCCAGATGAACATAGTTTTGGCACGCCCGGTGGGATCCTTGATCAAATCTTACCTGTCAAAGAAATATGTCAAAAATACCTGAAGATTTAAAAAGGGCGGCTGTTCCAGAAAAAATAATTAATGAAGACTTGCAAACTACCTTGTTGCAAATGTTGCAAAGATTGGAAAACGCCTCCACAGGCTTCAGAAGGAAAATATACCTGGTTCTGGGACCAACTATTCCCATATCTTTACCTCTACTTGGGGAAAAAGATGATAAGGAAGAAGAAAGAAAAAAGCTTGAGGCCAGCCAGGGGCAGGTTGAAGCAATGGTGGATAAGCATGTAGATCCCTTTTCTGAGGCCCCAGTAAATATGATTAATTTAGCATGGCCGAGAAGGGGAAAGGAAAGGTTGCAAGGGAGACAGAAGAAGAAAGGCCGGCTGATAAATCCACAAAGGAGGTGATCAAATTGCCCGAACATCCAAAAGCAACCATGATCAAAGGGATAGTTTTGTGTAGTATATGCCAATGCTAGTGTGAGCTTGAAATACCGCCAGCAGTAGTCTTCATTGATCATGACCTGATCAGGAGGAAAGAAGAAGAAGAAAGAAAAGAAGCTCGCGAGAAAGCTAGGCGGACAGCAAGAAGAGATACTTCCCGAAGTGTTTTTTCAGCGGTTAGGAGGGGATTCCCAACCTAGAGCTTTATCATAAGTGTTTCGAAATCATGAAGCTTCTGAGAAGGCAGAAGACAAAGAGGCTAAAGGTCCAAAAGAAAGGGAGATAGGGCATCCTCAATAGGGCCATACAGGAAGAGAAGTCAAAAGAAATGATAGGCTAACAAATCCTGTCAAAAAGGATAATCCTGCTCGTCTCGGGCGAAAATGGTACATAGTCGAGAAAAATGGGCAACCCGCCAAACAAATGGGAGCCTCCTGTAAACACAGAAATTCCTGCGATGAACGAGACAAGAACACGTGTACAAAATAATATTTGTATTAATGATTTAGGGGTTACAATCTCTTCTACAAATTTAGCCTCTGATTCTATCTTTGTAATGGGTGGATTTGATGTTGTTGATCCAAAGGGCCGTCGGGACTTGATCTTGGGATAAACAGTTGTGCGGATTTGTTGACGTCGTTGATCCAAAGGGCCGTCGGGGCTTGATCTAGGGATAAACGAATGATGAATGATGAACACTTTCTTCAAGGGCCGTGGGGGCTTGATCTTGAATTAGTGGAAGTTCCTCAAGGACCGTTGGGGCTTGATTTTGAATGAGGATTTGATGAAGAACGAAGAGAGCTTTCTTGATCCTTCAGGATTTGCTTGGGAGCTTTGGAGTTTCAAAGCTTCAAGGTTGTGGTGTGAGGTGAATTGATTATGAATTGGTCCCCAAAATGAATGCCTTGGCCTCCTATTTATAGAATTTCAAAACTTGATTTTTTGGATTTAAATAATTAGATGAAATAAATCATTTCTGCCAGGTGTTGACACGTGTCCCGTTTGATGACTTTTCCAATTTACTTTGATTTTTCGTTTAGTCACATGCTATGTGTAAAATTTATGTGACACATAAACGTTGAAATTTTAATTATTGATCAACATTTATTTTACCGAAATTTCGATGTCTACAAATGCCCCCACTTCAAGGCGCATCGTATACATGTGCTTGTCAGGTGTAGAAGATGCGTTTTGAAGTCCCTTACTGCAGATGTTGATCCAAGGTCCGTTGAGGCTTGATCTTAAACTGGGTTGGTAATTTCTTCAAGGGCCGTTGGGGCTTGATCTTGAACTTTGTTTGAAATTTCTTCAAAGGCCGTTGAGGCTTGATCTTGAAGGTTGAAATTGGACCACAAGGAGCTTCATGTGGTAGATGATCTTTTGCTTTCGTAGTGGGTGAATCGGCACGTATTTTGTTGCGCTTGTTAACTTTCCACAACTTTGATCTTGAACTGGTTCGGAGGATTTTCTGGTTTCCTCCAATTGTTGACTTTCCACAGGCTTATTCTTGAACTGGGTTGGAGGATTTTCTGGTTTCCTCCAATTGTTGACTTTCCACAGCTTATTCTTGAACTGGGCTGGAGGGTTTTTTCGTTTCCTCCAAAGGATTTTCCACATACTTAATCTTGAACTGGATTTGATTCAAGGGTGGTGGCCACTTGATCTTTAATCAGACTTGTGATTTCTTTAAGGGTCGTCGAGGCTTGATCTCGAACTTAAACATGACCATGAGCAGTTTCAGGACATGCATGCTTTGAAAGATCAAGGAAGTTCGCAGCATTTTCATATGAAGCCTAAGCAGTTTGGTCAACGGTATGATCTTCAAGATTGATGGGCTCTTCTTCCAGTTGGTGACTTGATCTTTAAGGATATCGAGACTTTGCTCTTTGGCGATAGTGCCAGCGAAAGGTTGTTGAAGCTTCTCGAGCTCTTTGATTATAGCAACGATGGTAGGGTTGGATTTGACTTAGACCCCTCCGTCTGGATTATGCAGTTCTGCCGAGAAGGGTGTTCTGCCATAATGATTTGTTCCGGCTCATCGTGCTGCGTTTTTTCTTTGCTTGTTTCTTAACCTAACCGAAGTGGTGCACAACCCTTTGCCTTTAAATGGTCCTTCAAAGCATCACTTTTCAGCCACTCATCCATGCTTGCCAGCTTCAGTGTAAAGAGCCAACACCATTTCAACTGTTTTGAAATATTTGCTGAGGAAATTCGAGATTGGTCAACAGTTAAAGATGAGTACTCGAGAGCAACGCTAGGTAAGCAACCAGGC